CCAAAAAACACTGTAAGTGAAATCTCAGATAGTAAGGAAAATCATAATTTATAACATTTAGAACTCTGTAATGTTAATTTACAAAAAATAAATCTGCACCATGCCCCTTGTGGAGTATTGAGTTATCACAAGTTGTGTCATTTTGGCTCTACTGACAGAAAAATTAAAGACATTGTTACTGAGACTGAAGTCTCTTATCCTCAAGGCAAGTGAAAACATAACATCTTAACCAGGTGCTTTCTTTGTTCAGGTATTTCAGTGCCTGCTTATTGAAGGGGAGAACAGTGGTGAGGATGCTCTTAGAGAAGCGGAAAAGTTTGTTATCAGTGATGAAGACTTTGATCGATTCCTGGATCGCCACAAAGATGTCTCCTGCTTGGTACCTGAATCTAATCAGAAGGTAAAAATTAAATTGTCCCTTTGTAACTTTTTTAATAATGCTAGAATATTTGAAAGGAACAAGAAACTTTAATGGCAATTAATACTTTCCCTATTAAAAGTGGCTTAGAAGAAGTGCAGTACAACTTTATCAGCAATTGGTTTTTTTATGGTAGAAGCCAAGATTTTTGATTTTTTTTAAGGCTTTTCATTGACAACAAAGTTATTAGTGGAAGAGGAAAAACCCATTGTTCCTATTCCTGTGGACACCAGTGGGAGTACTCTTCCTAAGTTGGGCACAAGGTCCTGAAAATTTCAGAGTTAACGTAAACACAATAGTCTAAGTATAGTTTCCTAGTAGAGATTGACATTATGCCAGTGTCATCAACCTACATGAATAAGACAGCATCCCAACCAACATTATATTGGGAACTGAGGAGCAGTACCAAACTAATAGTACTTTTGGGTAATCCTTCTCACAAAAAAGTGGCATTTTTAACATTTTCTGTCTGAACTCCTTTGGATTTCTCACTCAGGCTCTTTATTCAGGAGAAGACTCCTTGTGCTTCTGCAGAGCCTACCAGTTAACTTGATCTGCTGCCATCCAGCTTACATTAACCACACTAAAGGACTTTGGTGCCTAAGGGTGGAGCTCAGGCCACTTTGTAAATGCCTACAGACCCTAAACATGGGATGAGGAGAGTTAGAAGACTCACTTTTAGGAAAGCTTATGTATTAAGTGAAGAAATAGCAAGTTGAACCAAGTTATCATTTAAGGCATTTGGTGAGAGGGGGCACTCATGCACTCATCAGAGAAAGGGTTAAGAAAGTAGGTTTGATTCCAGAAGACTGTTTCTGATTTCTGGTACACCTATGTGAAAGATGAACGTCAAATTGATCAGATTTCCTGTTATACACAGCAGCAGGCTCCAGCTATCCAGAGAATTTTAAGGAGGATTTAGGAGATGCCCATTTAACTAAGCAAACCTGTCTTATTTCAGCTGTTGGTTGAAATATTTCTTTGTGGAGACCTGAGAACTCTTTTACCTTTGAGATAGCAGAACACCTTTGTTTGGTGGGGTTATAATTAAACATCCCAGTTAAAATGGTCATATCAGTTGTTTGGAAATTGGCATAATCATTCCAGCATACAAAACTCTTAAGTTCTTCTGGTGTGGAGATTAATAGAAAACTTGGATACTATTGAAAACATCTTTTTCCAGTTGGGTACCCATGTTCCACTTAGACACTGGAGAGGTCCTATTATTCATAAATAAAGTTTTTCTAATAACTCTGTCATTTATTTCTATAAATTTTATCCAAGCTCACTGAAATAGTGGTGATACAGCAGCTGTTTCAAAGATTTGTATCAGACCTTGAATGAAAAGTTGTCTGCTTTTTTTTTTCCTCCTTTTTCAGTAGAATAGAATTTTGATTTGTACATGAATTTAATTTTTTCTTTTGATCTATTACAGATGAGAGATTCATACCTCATTCTGGATGAATATGTAAGTCTTTTTTTGATACATGGTATTTGTATGCTAATATATATGTATGTATACAACAGTGATAACCATTAATTTACTCTGCATTCTATAAAACATTTTGACCATGTAGTACAACTAAAAGATGTGATTTATGCCCATCAGAAGTGTTGTGAACTGCAGTACAGTACGACCTAAGGAGGCATTGCCATCAGCCTGCATGTACCACAAATCTTAAGGTGTAAATGTCTAGATTTGCAGGACATCTTTGCTTTTTTTCTTTAATATAAAAATACAGAACTTGCCCTGAAAGTTAAGTTTCAGAGTGCCCACCTAGTTTACATGTAACTGAAGTGACAACGTTTAGTCTTCAAGAATTATGATACTGCTTTGTTCCTGCTAAGATATGTCACATATCTAACCATGAGTTTCTAAGCCTTCAAAGGACTAGAGTGAACCTCTTTGTACACTTACATAGGCTTTGGTGGAACTTTGCAGTGCAACTTGCTTAAGTCTGTAGAAAAATTAAGATTTTGCAAATTGAATTTCTAACATCTTATCATCTTATTTATCTTACGTTCCAGATGCGTTTTCTAAACTGTAGAAATGGACGGAAGGAACCTTCCAAGTCTATCCTGGATGTTGGTGTAGAAGCAGCTATAAAATTTAGTGGATTTGATGAGAAGATGTTCCTAAAAAGAGGAGGAAAGTATGTGTGGAGTAAAGCAGATATGAAACTGGACTGGTGACTCAATATATAGAGTTAGGGCAGTGCACTCTGTAAAAATGGGTGTATCTTTATAGGTGAGTGTATACTTGTATCTGATGCTTTTAACTACACTTGGTATTTTACACAGACTGATCTTCCTCTCATCTGCATACATACATGATATTTGCAGAAATGCTGGGGGATGTAATTTTCTGTGAAAGCATATTTTTAGTCATGAAGAAAATATTGTATTCGTCCATCCTAAAGCCTAGTGGTACATTTTACCTAATGATAAACATCATATTTCACATTGGCAATGTCTTTATTACAACAAATATTTACAGTGAAACCTTGTTTTCATTTTATTAGTTTTATTCATTTTATTTTCCTTTCATCTGCAAATATTGATTTATTATTTTAAACTATTTTCAAACTGTAGGCATACAGTTCTGATGAAGATTCCTTCTCAAACTATTTAATATCATGTAGAACAACCTAACATATATCTTCTGTTGCATACTAGCTTTTTATTTTGCTAAGTCATGAAACTACAAACAACAAAGTTCATATATCAAGCAACCTTGTTTTAAAGGTTGCTTGTCTCAGTAACTAATTAGCTTGCTGGTTATAAACCTGCAGACTTTACATGAAACTAATTTGTTTTTGTGAGAGCTGCCTTTGATTTTAAGAGCAGGTAGCATCAATATAAAATACAAAAAAATAAAAAAAATCCCTAACACCTGAAAAATCTCTAATATACTGCCCTCATTTTTGCTTTCTGGGCAATTTTTATGGCTTTATAATTGCAGGTTTTCAAATTTAACTAGTTCCATCCTACCTCTGTCTGAAGGGCACAGGGATAGGCACTGCACAGAGCAGAAGTGAGATGGCACTACTCATTCATCCTGTCCACTGAACTCAATGTCTGGACTGTCTCACACATTTAAATATTTACAGCAGTTGGGAGCCAGCAGGCATTAAATGTATCACATAGAGAAAATGACACCTTCTTCCATTTTTTTGGAAATGCTAGTTGATTTTTTAAAGACGTTTTTGAAAGAGATGTTTTGCATTCCCCTAATGCATCTTCAAAGTTGAAGGGGGAAAATGCTTAAGTAGGAGCTGTTACTTCTGTGTAAAGGAAAGTACTCCTCTGAATATTCTGTGAAAAATTTTCCATTTATAATTCCTTCAGTTTCTATTTTGACTATCCTAACAGTAAATATATTCAGTGGTGCTCTTCTGTCCCCTTGTATTTTGCATTTTGCAATCACAACACTTCCTAGACACTGACATTTCAGTATATTTTTTCTTGCAATAACAGTAAGTGACATTTAAAATGTGGCCCACACACCGTAACCCCACAGTCTTTTGGCAGCTATTTCACTGACCTTGGCTGGAGTTCTCCCTGGCTCTATGGGCAGTGCAAATTTATGTAACTGGGGTTTGACTTTCCCCCACTCAAATATTGAATCTAGTCTCTTCCTCAGTACCTACACCACAACAGAAAATAAGCATTTTCCTTTGCTGCTATCTCAGTCCCAGCATGGGGAATGATTTAATGCTTCAATGTACCAAAAAATCTACAACCCTGCAGTTTCTGCAGAAAATGCCAGCTGTAGCACAGCACACAGATATGAGGTACACAAACTCCTGTTCAGATCCAGAAATCCTGCCATTCTTTGCTTTGCATTTTACCCTGTAAATGGCTATTCTTTTGCTTCCTCTGTGCCTACAGAGGAAACTGCAAGAGAAACAAGAAGGAGCTGAAAATGTCAAAATCCAGTAAATAATGCACAGACATTTAAGAGGGCTTTTGTTAAAAGGTTCTGTGTTCTTACCTTCTTAAAATGTTTTCATATCACCTCTTGTTACCATAAATAATTAGTAAAAGGTTTCTGCTCTGTGTGAAACTCCTTTTCAAAGGAAATATCAGTTATGTACATTGGAAATATTAGTTGTGTACATTGTGCAACTCATAGTTTGAGAGTGATTTCAGTTAATGAACAGCTATTGGCATTTTTATATGCCACATTTATTGTTGTGTAAACCAACAAAAATTTGGCTACAGTTGGTGAATCTAGTTTATTTAAAAATAATTATAAACACAGTTCCTATTGGACCAAAAGTGGACTTTAGGCTTTAATTACACAGTATGGGACTAGAAAAATAAAATGGAATTCAACAGGGTTACTCCCAGGCTTAGTGATTACAGCTATGTTGTGATGATGAAAAGTCAGAATTAAATTTATATCTTATGCACAGATATGCTTAATTGTATCCTTGTGTATAATATCATAGTATTGCAGCTAAGCACTTGCTAAAGATGCTGAATTGGGAAGGAACTCACACTGCATTCTACTAACATACAATTGTTTCTATTTGTAAAAAAAATGTAAAGAATGAGTGTTTGGGAGGATGACTTCTGATAAAACTGTGCCTATACCTTGGGTAGCAAGTAAAATTGTCACTTAAGATGCACTTTAGCATGCCCTCTTATTCAGTGTGAAAGATTCTGATATATTTGAATGTTACAAATGATCTATTTTGGACCAATAGTGTTAAATAATTAGTGCTAAGTTTTTCATGACTGTGTTGCACCTTTCAATAAATGTTTCTATTTTCCTAAGTTTGTCTGTAGTTTTCTTTTTTTCTGTAATACAAGTCATACTAGCAGAACGTGTGGCTGCATTCACAGGAGATCTATAATTCTGGATGCATTTAGTCTGTATTTAGCATGGGGGCTGCTTGCACGGTGCCAAGGGCAGCATCGAGGCCGAACGGAGAACAATGGTGGTGATTCTCCTCGCGATGAAAGGCACTTGTTACAAGCCTGAGTGGACTGGTCTGTGCTGGGAGAAGACAGTTCAAATACCTTGTGCTATTCAGATGACAGCCGACACGAAGGGCACAGCTATCCATAAATATCCGAGGACAGAAATAAGATTATCTTCTGTTATGGTAAATAAGAGAGAAAAGCCAGTCTATTTAGAAGACTGAAGACAAGCAGCTTCTCAAGCTCATCTTCCATCTTCAGGCTCGGTAAACTCTTGTACTAGACAACCTCAAATTGAGCTTTTCACAGTATTTGGCTGTGTGTGAGAGCATACTTGCTTTTTACCTCCTCTCTGCCATCCCCCGCACACTGCGGTGGTGTGAGGGCGCCCAGCAGCAAGTGCCGCAGTGACAGGCTGCGTGTCCCGTGCCCGGGGCTGCCGGGCCGTGCGTGTCCCGAGCCCGGGGCTGCCGGGCTGTGTCACGCCGGGGAGGCTGCCGGGCCGTGTGTGCCCCGTGCCCGGGGCTGCCGGGCTGTGCTTGCTCCGTGCCCGGGGCTGCCGGGCTGACCGTGCCCCGTGCCCGGGGCTGCCGGGCTGTGCGTGTCCCGTGCCCGGGGCTGCCGGGCTGTGCGTGCCCCGTGCCCGGGGCTGCCGGGCTGTGCGTGCCCCGTGCCCGGGGCTGCCGGGCTGTGCGTGCCCCGTGCCCGGGGCTGCCGGGCTGAGCGTGCCCCGTGCCCGGGGCTGCCGGGCTGTGTGTGTCCCGAGCCCGGGGCTGCCGGGCTGTGCGTGCCCCGTGCCCGGGGCTGCCGGGCTGACCGT